CTTTCGGTGGTCGTGCCTCGGTGAGACCGGGGAGCGAAGGGAGGACGTGTGGGTGCCCCGAGCCCCGCTCCTCCCCCCGCAGTGGCCCCTCCCCCAAGGTCCACGCGTGACGTCCCCTTTGCTGCCCCGCTGGACCTCAGGCGTCAGGTGGCATGCTGGAAACACCGTCCCGGCGCGCTGCCCACCCACAGGAAATGCCTCTGTGGATGACCAAAGGGGCGTCATCACACCCATTTCTGCAGAAGCCTCTGGAAAATCCTCTGACTCGTGGAAGTGGAAACCGCAGCCCACGAGCCACGTCCTCGACTGCAGGTGGACCCGCGTGCACCCCGCCCACCTGTCCGGCCCGCCGGTGGCCGCGGCCCTCACCCTCGCGCACCCGGCGCTTCTCTGGGGACCAGAGAAACTTGTCCCAACAGAGCCCCCACTGTGTGGGGACCTCATGCCAAGCCAGTGTCCGGGATCTGAGTCCTTGAAGCGTCCCCACATGCCCATCGCGGCCTTTTCCTTTTAAACCCAGACCAACCAGGGCCGGCGTCCGGTCAGCCTCCGGGCTCCCTTGATGCGGAACAGGCCTGCCCGGCCTCACCCGGCCGCCGCCCGGGCCTGCCGTTCCTCACGGTTAGACACAGGTGACCGCGTCTGGCCACAGCACAGGGCGCCCCCCGCGTGTCCAGGGCTGGGTCCGAGGCAGAGCGGGGTTGCCGCGTCTCCCCGGGTGCAGGTGCAGCGCCCCCGTGTAGAGCACAGCCTCATGTCAGTTCGCCGTGGACATGTGGACCAGAGCGACGGCCCCCCAGGCCGCACTGGCCGGGGGGCTCTCCTGGCTCTGCACCCCAGGGCAGACACCTCCAGCAGGCCGTGCACCAAGATACAAGGGAGCATGCCCCGTGCCTCCCCCACCCCCTGGGCCTCACGGCCCCAGGGTCCCCACGTAGCCACGGGAGCCTGGCGGCTGACCGGACGCCGGCCCTGGTTGGTCTGGGTTTAAAAGGAAAAGGCCGCGATGGGCATGTGGGGACGCTTCAAGGACTCAGGCTGGCCCCTGGCTTTCCCACCCCATCAGCTTCAAGAACTTTCGCCCTCCCGCAACAGGTGACGCCAGGCCCACAGCGTCCCCTCCCGCGGCAGTCAGCTGCTTCCCCCAGGAACCTGCGTCCTTTGGCACCAGCCGAGCGCCCTGCCCCGCCCTCTCGGAGGACACACGCAGGCCTGGGGACTGGGCGCCATGGCGGCTCCGGCACTGGCACTCGCCAGGTCCCCTCCACTCTCCACACTCCAGGAGACGAAGCCCAAGACTTCCTCCTCGGGGCGTCGGTCCGCGCGAGGCAGCCGCTGACCGCCCGACGCCCGCCGGCCTGCGCGCCACCCCGCGACGGCCCCTGCGCTCCCGCTGGCGGTGGAGGGGCCCTGGCTGTGCCTTCAGTCCTCTCGAGAGCGCTGAACCGCTCGGGCGTGAACGTGGGAGCCGCACGCAGGGGGTCCACGGCCGGCCTCGGCCCCGCTGGCCCTCCCGCGTGACCGTCTTTCTCAGACCTCGATTTGCCCTCCCTGTGGCTAAGCGGGGAAACCCCACATCACGCGTGTGGGTCTCACGCCAGTGCCGGGCGGACCCTTGCGCTCGGCTGGAGGACACACGTCGCAGTGCCGCCCAGGCGCTCACTTTGCCTTCCGCGGTTGGGAGACCGCAGAGCGCCGGCCTTCTCGGACAGGAGGGCGGAGCAGAGGCTCCTCGGGCCTCGGCCGCTGGAGCAGTCGCCCTCATGCTCCGGAAGGGCAGTGTCCTCACTTCTCAGCACTGAACTGCCACCTGCTTCTGAGCTCCAGAAAAACTGTTTCTGGGCTTGCAGGAGCTTGCGAGGGTGTGGAGGCCCCGGGCCTGGCGAGGGGCGGCTGCAGGGAGGAGGGGATAATTGACAGGCCAGGCCGAGCTGGCCGCAGAGGACGCCCCTCCCCCCCCCCCCCCCCGTTCGGCCGGAGGTGGGGAAGCAAACCCAGGGGCCAGTGTTTACTTTGACGGGGCCGCCCAGGGGCGCGGGATTCGGCCTCAGCGCCGTGAGCTGCGGGCAGCCACCGAGCTCCGCCGGCCAGGGACCCCCGTCTCCGCGCTGCTCCCCTCAGCGGTGGGTCTGCCCTGCTCCCCACTCTGCCTCGGGGAGTCCTCTCACCCCCGCTCCTCTGGCCCGTGTGCCGGCTCTTACGCGCAGAGGTTAATGGATTTAACAAGACATTGATTTTGATGAAGAAACCTTGTCTTTGGAATAACCCCTTCCGCGGGCCCCTCTGGAGCAGCAGGTCTCTCCAGAGCAAACGGCTGCAGCCCCGGCCGAGTCCCGGTTTCGCAGAGCAGCCTCCGGGACAGCAGGCGGCCGCTGGGCCAAGTGCGCCCGTCCCCGGCAGCGAGGACGCCCGTGCGCGCCGAGACTGCTCACTGGCGCTCTGAGGAAAGGGTGAGGGAAGGAGAAACCAGAAACTGGTTTGGTGCTTCTCAAAGGTCTGTTTTTCATGCATCCAGAACTGGGGTGCAGGCCAGAGGCACAGGGCAGCTGACAGGATGCCCGGAGGCAGAGTGGCCGGGACACTGCTGAGGGGCGGCGGGGAGAAACTCGGTGTTTTTTAAGGGCGAGCAGGAAATTCACCTTTCCCGGTGGGCCCGGCGGCTGGGGAGTGCACTCGGGGGCCCGGCCTGCCACGGGGCCACCCCACAGGCCCATGGGGCAGAATGGAAACGGGACTCGGAGCGCTACGCCTTCCCGTGACGCCTACCCAACACCAAGGCGCTCTCCCGCCCCTGCACTCACACCTCAGCAGACCCCAGGGCTGCGAGGCGCCCGAAGCCGGCCCTGGGGAGGGGCCGCCCTGCACACAGCCCCCTCCCCTTGAAGTGAGAGGCCGCCTGCACCTGCACCTGCCCTCCCCGGAGAAGGGGGGCCGGAGGGGCGGGGGGGCGCGTGCAGCCCGAGTCTGCACCCAGCTCTCGGGGTGCGGGGATTTAGCTGTCAGCAGGACGCCGGGCGCTGTCGGTGCTCAACTCGGCCGCCCTCTGAAACGATGACCCACCTTGAGGCTTAACTGGATTAAAAAGATCAATTTCTAGCCCTGGCAGAGCGTGGGGATGAAGTGCTACATTCTCGGGCAATTGTAAAAGCAGCTTTGCTCAAAGCCATTTTTTATTATTCACGACGGTCAGATGACACGGCCCGGGCCGGTGAGCGGCGGGCGCGCCCGAGCTTCTGCCAGCGGCCGCGGGCACACACGCGCCCGCGCCCGAGCGCCAGCGCCGCCACCTGCTGTTCTGCGTGGGCTGAGTCACCAGCAGCGGTCTCTTCACACCAATTACCGAGACGCTGAACTCGGGGTAATGACGAACCCGTCTGCAGATCTCTCTTGGCCTCGGTCTGGACTCATCTTCGTAATAAGGAAAAAACCCTTGAGGAAGCTGTTACCAAATCACATCTGACCATTAAGTCTTCCTTGAAGAAGGTCATTTAATTTGATGGGAAGAAACGAACAATTAACACGGCATAAGCAGAAATAGGCCCGGGCTGGGCTCTCTGCTCCGGCGCCTCTGTGTGGGCCGGGGGGCGGCGCGCGGCCCACGAGAGAACACGGAGCGAAGGGACCCTCGATGCCCTCAGCAACTCCACGGAGGAAAGCGGGCCCTTTCGCCTCCACCACGTCTATAAAATGAGGGAAGCAGTGACCGCCGCGGCTGTGGATGATTAGCTAAGAGTGATTCTAGGGTCACAGCTGACAAACAGAGTGTCAGACCCGGTGGGCTATTTAACTCCCCCAATTTGAATGACCGTGGCTGGATGGGCTCATTTTAAACGGCCGTCTGGCCAGACTTCAGCGCTGGAGTCGAGGCCCACGCAGTTCTTGCAGGCGCTGGGCACAGTCTAGGAAGCTCCTGGGGTAACTGGACACGTGCCTGTTTCCTTCAGCCTCTAGTGACCAGGTAATGGTGCTGTTTCTGCGCCCGACTCTGCCACATCCCTTGTGTGCTAAGGCCCAGACACTGACTGGGGGCCACAGACTGGGGGCCACAGGCTGGGGGCCTGGCTTCACATGTTCTTACAAAACCACCGCCTTTGAAGGCGAGCTGGACTCCGACACATTCGGGGGAAAATGGCTTGGGGCTCGACTGGCATTTTGGGGTGACAGGTTAGCCACGTCCATCCAGACATTTACACCCCCTGGAGCCTCACATCAGACAAGGCCCACACACCACACTTAAGCAGAAGGCCCTCGGGTGCGCCTCGGCACGTCCGCACACCACGTCCGCAGCGCTGTTTGCCCCCAGGGGTATCTGCTGGAGCACAGACGGCCCCTCAGACAGACAGGTGGCCTCTGGACACCCGGGGCAGGCCCAGGCCACGCCCGCTGTCCTCGCCCGGGCGGCAGAGCGGCCGGCCCGCAGGCACGCCGTGGGAATGAGCACGCAGACCGCAGGGTGGCCTTCACATGGGCACGGCCGCTTTATTGTACAAAAAGTTTCCAGCAACAGTCAATTAGTCATAAAAGAGGACGGAACGTCACCGCGGGCAGAAGCGCTTCACTGATTGCTTTATTCAGGCACACCAGAGAAAGTCTTATCTGACCAAGGAGGTTGGGAGGGTTTTATTCCCTTTTAGAAGCCATTAGCGAGGAAAACACTGAAAGCACTTGTGTCAAAACAAATAAATAATTCTCCCAATTAGCGGGGAAAGAGTAAACCCGTTAAATTAGAGACACTCGCTGCCTCAGCCAGCGAAGCCAGCACCCCCACCCCACCCTACATCAATAAAGCCAGAGACAGCAGATTGCAGCTACAATCTCCAGAAAGATCAGGAGCCTCGGGGGTCTGACAGGAAACATTCACCTTTCTCCCCCGCCCCATCGTCAGAGCCACCCAGGACACCCAGGCCCCAGGAGGAGCCCTGCACGGCAGCTGGCAGGTCCAGGGAGCCACTCCGAGCCACTGGACGTGACCGGCCGGCTCTCTCCGACCGCCCCGGGCGGCTGCCTCTCCCCAAAGGAAGGCTCGAGAAAAATAGCACTCAGAGAAACCCTGCAATTTGGGGCACAGACCCGGCAGCAGAGGGCTGCACAGAACGGGCCCCCCCATCCCACGGGACCCTTGAAACCCTCCTAATTGGACCCTTTATTTCACCCTAAACCAACCCCAGCCCCTCCTCCCTGAAACTAAATGTGAACAAGCTGTGACCCTTTCTCAACGGGCCTCTCTCCTCAGCACCGCGGGAGACCCCAGGCGTGAGAGGCCCGGACAAGGACCCAGCATGACCAGCGCACGGGCCGCCAGGGAGGGCGGCCCCCACAGGCAGGAGCCCCACTTTGGACCCCACAACGAGGCCAAACCCGCTGGGACGCAAGGACGCCCCAGGCCCCCCAGCCCACGCGAGCCCCCAGCCAGGGCGGCCACTGGCGCTCACTCCCGCGTGTCCCTCGTGTTCGCTGGGGCGCCCCAGCTACCTGGAATCCCGCACTGGGGCACTGCAGGCCCTGGCCTGGCCCCAGGGGAGGGAAGGCGGCCCCGGTTGGGCTGGAAGTCCCAACCTCTGGCCTGGAGTGTAAATTCTCGGAAACCACCTAAAAGTCAGTTCTGGAGAGGTCTTATGTGATTGACCCAAGTAAAATGCAGCATATTTAATGAGGTCACGCTCCTTTTAAACTTCTTAAGGGTGGTGAAAACTAGGGACAAAGCCATCGAAAACTGCAGCAATCATCAGAACTACACTGATGTCTCGAGGCCAGGTACACGTGAGTGAGTTTTCCAGGTCACCGCCATCACCCCACGAGCCGCCAGCCCGGGCGCCCTCGGGCAGCACGCTGACCCTCAGCGTGACCTCAGCGCCCCACTGCAGGACCCGGTTCACAGAGACGCGGGGTTTCCGGTCAGGGTGCCAGCCGCGGCCGGACATGCCTGCTTTCTGGGCACGTTAAGTGGCAATGAAAGAGCCAATAAATCCAACCACCGGTGGAATATTTTCCTCTTAATGGAGTGATGTTTGGTTAATAATTCAGGATTCACTAACCCTGAATGGGGCGACCCATTCAGAATGGCCTCTGTGTACATTCACAGCTCATTAAATGGGTCTGGCTGGGGCAGGCCGCTCGACGGTCAGTGTGTTAGTAATGCCGAGCAGGGGCCGCGCGGCGGGTCGCTGCCGGGCTCCCTTTCATGAGTGACGGTAGCTCCCACCACCAACTTTTCAGTTTGGGTGGCTTTGCTTGGGAGCCCCTTTGGCTGACAGGAGAAAGTGCACAAATCACAGAGGCGGAAACTCCACTCCGAAGTACTGAAGCTCACGGAGCCGTTTCCACTGGCCCATCTAAGTGTTAATTAACATCAATGACGGCTCCTTATTCTTCACACTTTGTTACTCTGATCATTAACAGTGATGGAAAAGCTAAATTAAGTTAATGGGGAACGGATTATAAATTCTTCGAGGACTTCTCTGTTTTCACTGGAAAACACGGAGAGAAAGCTGGAGAGGCAGCTTTGCCTCTGAGCATACATTTTTGGTACCAGGTCTCTTGTACACCAGATGGTCTTTAAAAATTTCCAAGTCACGTCAAGATGCCCCTCCGACACGAGCACACACCTCGGCAGCCGGCATCGACGGCCTCCTCGCCCGAGAAGCCACGTCCTCGCCCGCGCAGCCCGCCCGGAGCTCGGGGCGGCCGGCAGGTCCTCGGCGCTCCCCCCGGCCTGCGCCCGCGCTAGCGGTGCTTCACGCCGACGAGGATGACGACGAGGACGACGATGAGGACAAACAGTATTAAGATCACGAGCATCTTCCGGTTCTTCTTCTGGTACTGCTCTGCCTGGGAAAGAGGAGGGAAAAGGCGTCACTGCCCGCGCCGGCCCCTCCCGCCGCAGCCCGCCCTGGGGTCTCGGGCCCCCAGCGCCGCCGCCCCAGGCCTGGCTGGCACCCGCCCTCCGGGAGGCCTCCACTTCCCGGCACCCGTCCTGGCTCGGAAACAGCCGCAGCCCGCAGACCACACGCGCCCAGGAAGGCCGGCACCTCGCGGCCCCCGGCCCCCAAGGCCAGGACGGGAGCCCCCGCGGCCTTCAGGCCGACACTGTCCGCAAGCCCAGCTCACACCTACCGGGGGCCACTCCTGGACCGAGGGCTGGCTCCCCTCAGCGCCGCCGCCCCGCGCCCCCGCTGGGGACTTGAGGGGACACAGGGCCGTCACCTGGGTCACCTAGCCAGTAACCAGGGCTAAACAACAGACTCCGAAACCTCTCGAGATGATTCATAAAAGCAGAATGTAAACAAAATGTTCAGCCCCACGACGCACGCGGATGCGCACCCCAGTGGAGCGGCCCCTTTCTCTGCGCCCTGTTGCAAAATGCGCCCCTAGTTTTTAAGAAACGAATCGAGGCCCTCCCTGGGGGCGCGGCGACTGAAGCGCAGCACTGAGAAGCTGAGGCCCCTGCAGCACGAGTCCGATCCCCGCCCGCCCGCCCCGGGGGGGGCCCCAGGGCGTAGACACTCCAGCACCCGCCCGCTGCTCCCCTCAGCAGTGTATTCCAGTAGATCTGTCTGTTCTGCTCCCCGCTCTGTCTCTGGGGAATCCTGTCACCCCCCCACACCTCTGGCCTGGACCCCAGTTCTGTGTGCACAAATAAATACATCTTAAAAAAAAAGAAACGGGCCCTCCCTGGTGGCGCAGTGGGTTAAGGCACAGCACTGAGAATCTAAAGCAGCTTCCTCATGAGTTCGATTCCCGCCTGCCCCGGAGGTGACCACATGGCGTGGCAGACCTCTCCTGACCTGCCCGCTGCTCCCCTCAGCAGTGTACTTCGTCGATCTGCCTGTTCTGCTCCCCACTCTGTCTCTGGTGAATCCTCTCACCCTCCGCATCTCTGGCCTGTACCCCGGTTCTGTATGAATAAATAAATAAATCTTTAAAAAAAAAAAAAAAAAAAAGAAACGAACTCGGCCCCACATCAAGTCACCACGGAGTGAGGAACTCACACGGGTGTTGCTCCCGCTACACAGGGCTGGAACCCAGGCGTGGGTGCCGCCGGCCCTCTGCCGGACAGGGCAGGCTGCCCTCACCAGCGCCGAGGCGCAGCCCAGCCCACCCCGCCCGCAGCCAGCAGAGAGCCAAGGGCTCCCAGACCTGCGTCCGAGGCACCTGGGTGCCCTGGCACCCCTGGGTTCGGGGACACTGTCCAGAGCAATGCGCGGCGCCCTCGGAGACCAAGTTAACGCTCGCTCCACGGCTAGAAACGCCCCGGGTCTCAGAACAGAAGGGGCGGACACAACTGACCTCGACTGCCAAGGATTATGTTCCTTTGAAAGAAAATTCACACCCAGTTACACTTCAGAGTGTATGTATCCTTCTCATCGCTGATTACAAGATTTCTCAGATGCTCTCCTTTAATTTTTAGCAAATACCGAGAAAAACAGTACTGAAACAGCCACCTTATTAGCACAGAATAAGAGCTAATATTCTCACTTCAACACACTCCGCTCTTCTCAAGGTAGCGAGTGGACGGACTGTGGTAATTAAGAGGGAAAATAAGATTTCCATCCTCTTCAGAATGATCCTTCACCAGCAATTCATCAGACACGTGTCACAACGAGAAAAGCCCGAGCCGGCAGCGATAGACAGACACAGTTCAACAAGCATTTCAGCAAACGCCGTTCAACTGATTTTCTAAAGCAAGGAGGCTCGGGCGGGATGAGATCTTTTCAGGGGTCCTCGGCCCTCAGGCCTTACTGTCACAGGGGGCAGCCGTCAAGTCAGCGACCTCAATGGCAGGGGTGCCCCTGGAACCCTTCCAGGGAGGGACCGGCAACAGCCCAGGCTCACACTCCAGCGGGAAGCAGGCAGGACGGACCCTCTCAGGGGCCTTGGTGTTGGGTGACAGCCCCAGATGCTCGGCCGGCAGGCATTACCTTGTGAAGCTGCTTCAGGCCATCTTCAGTTTTGATGCAGGACTGCTCAACATTGTAGTCGATTCTGTCAAGGACTGTGCCCTGCGGGGGAGGGGCAGTTACAGGAGAGCAACAGCACAGGGGAACCGAGCCCCCCAAAGGAGATACGCCAACGGCGGCCCTCGTTACCCGCAGGGTCACCTGTCTCCCTACTGAGCTGCGACGGCACACGGAACGCTCTGGAAGCTGCGTCAGCAGTGCGAGCACGCAGTGGCAGAGGGCTGCTTGCTGCAGCTGTCTGGCTCATGAGAAAGAAACACTACCGGACGGAGACTTGTTTGGGTTCGCAAACTGCAGACATGCCACCTCGGGCTTACGGGGGCTTTAACAGATATGGGTCGGTGGAAATGGCCGCAGATGGCCAGCTCGTGTGTCCGGGTGCAGCTACGGGACTCGAGTCGGCAGAGACGCCGGCCGCCCTAGGCCTGGCTGTGGTGAGCCCGGATGCAGGCCACCGAGTCCGTAGGTCAAGGCAGGAGTCCCGGCATCCCAGAGGGCGAGCGCCAACCCTCCATCTCAAATTAAATGTCTGCCTCAAGAAAATTTTGTTTGTAATTATTTAATTTCTGGGCTCAGACAGAGAGGGGGACGCCGGGCTGTACGGGACGGCAGAGCCCCGGCGGAAAGGCGCCGTCTCAGCAGGCAGCAGCAGCGGTTCCGGGCGCCCAGGGAGCCATGACTGCACCGCAGGGGCCGGGCCCAGACCCCTCCCGGCCAGACAGTGAAGTGCCCCGTCAGGTTGGAACCTGAGCAACAGCGCAATTCCACTCGCGAGCCGCAGCACACACGGCTGCGAGACCAGAGCGAGACCTCTGTGCTGCGGGAGGCGCGCACAGGCCCGCGCGGGCGGGGTGTGCGCAGCTCACACGAGAACCAGCGCTGCCCTTTCTTTTTCTCTCCCCATCCAAAAAAAAAAATGGAGACTCGGATACGTTAGGGGCTGGCAAGGCAGACGCACGTGACCTGCGCAAACAGGCGCACGCACCCACGCCCGAAGAAGACAGGCTCAGGGCGCTTTCCTGGGCGCGGGGTCGGGGGCGTCTGGGGGTCAGCAGGGGCCGCGGTGATGAAGGCGACGGCTCACGTACCTGCTCCACGATCACTGCTCCCAAGTCCCTGAATATTTCATTCAGGTCGGAAATGGACTGCACGATCTGACGAATTTCGCGCTCCCGCTCTTCCACCAGCAGCGTGTTCTGCTCCAGCAGGACCAGCTGGTCGTCTGTGAAGCCCTAGCAAAATAAAAACACAGAGCGTGTATGCCAGGGGTGCTTCCTTCCTTTCAAGAAAGCTATGGTGTGTCCCTTTCAGTGTAATTCAAAGAAAATGAATTCTGCAACAATGTCTATAAAGCGCAGAGGCAGGCATTTCCTCTTCCCTCACCGGAGAGACTCTCATCCCCACGCAAGCAGGATCTAAAGCGCTGCCGGCCAGAGCGGGCGCGTGCAGACCCAGGCTGCCGCAGCAAACTGGCTGGGAGCAGAGCCGCGAGCTGGCCAGCCCCCGCTGCTCCGCGTCCCCGGGCGAGGGCAGACTGCCCAGGCTTGGGGCAGAGGGCAGGTCGCCGTCACCTCTGGACGGGAAGAACAGCGTGGGCCCCGCTGCTCCTCTGCCTGCCAGACCCCGCTTGATGGACAGACAAGTCAAGCAGTGCCGACCCACTCGCATCGCACAGAAGTGAAAGGTCTGTGAGGAGAAGGGAAGGAAGCGGAGCGCAAGGCACAGGTCTCCACGCCGCAGCCGTCACGTACCCGGTCATAAAGAGTATTATCGTCGCCATCGTCCGTCAGTGGTACTGATGTGTCAAAAAAATGCTGGGATCTTTCCTCTCGAGTCTTCATGCCTATCACAGATAGGAGTGCACTTTACTCGAATAGGCAAGCCATCCCGGTTACTGCCGCACCCTTCACAGGGGCGTCGCGTCAAACTCAACAAAGCGGAGCTCTCCTTAGCAGCCTCAGGGAAACCTGTCTCAGCGGCAGAGCGGCACAGTGAGGGCCACAGGCGCATGGCGACACGCAACGTTTGGGCTAGTCGAGTGCACGATCCATGCGAGGCCAAGTGAATGGCGAGGTGACACGACTATCTGAGAAGCCCGAAGCGAAGCAGAAACGTTTACGCTAACTGCTGTCACAAACATTAAGAAAATGGGCATTTTGCTCCAGAAGCATCTCTAGTAAGAATTCCAAATGACCCTAATCAAAATTTAGAGGCAATAAAAGTGAAATGCAAATATGCCAGTTGTCAGAGAAAGGGAGAACTCGCTTTGGGGGGCGATCTGTGGGGAGACTGGTGACTGCGGGGGCAGTGAAGCCAGCCCGGTTCACAGAGAACCGTCAGAACGAGGGCGCAGCCGGCCTGGACTGCGTGGTGCAGGCGGGAAAGGGAGCCCGAGGGCATCACTCGAGCCCAAGCGCCCGTTCACGCGCCCTCGGAGAGATGTTTAGGGCCTGTCAAAAACGCCAGCCCTCGTGCAGGGAGGGCTTTGCCGCACACCGCCGCCTGCACTTAGCAGTAGCCACAGCCTTCCTGAGTACCCAGGGGCTTTCAGACTCTCCCACCCCACAGGCTTAGTCTGCCTGGACACGTGGCCGGACACCGGCCTCGGCCGCACCGGCAGGGTACCGCCTGGGCC